GATAGGGTTGGTGTAGCTCCTGTGACAGACAAAATTAGAGAAAGTCGTCTTAGATGGTTTGGTCACATTAAACGTCGACCATCTGATGATCCTATTAGGAGAGTAGATGTTTTAGGTTCGACTTGTGTTAAAAAAGGCAGGGGTAGACCTAGGAAGACTTGGGCTTATTGTATTAAAAATGATCTTAATTTACTAGAACTAAATGAAAATATGACACTAAATAGGACACAATGGAGAAAAAAGATTCATGTAGCCGACCCCACGTAGTGGGATTAAGGCTTTGTTGTTGTTGTTGTACTATAATTTAGGAGTATGAATATTCACTGATTTGTTTAGTTTACTGTTATTTTTATACTAACTTTTTAAGTTTAATTTAAGTGATTAAAAGATAAACGATAGATGATAAAACATTTATAGAAGACGCAGACAATCAGTAACGAGGTAGAATTAATTATACTGTCTTAATTTAATTTAATTAGTGTCTATTTCATTTGTTAATAGTTTGTTAAATGGATAATCAATATAGAATTTTTTTTCCCTATCGTCTGACCGTTTGTTCCCGTCTTGATTAATTTCAAGCCCCAGACCGGATCATGACACACCAGCGTCCACCACTGTAGACCTTACCCTAGGAATTGTTTGTGTCGTTTATCATTTATTTCCCGTGTTGTGCCGTTATTTTGTTGGTTCAAGTGTCTTTATTGTAATCCTTGATGAATGTCAACAATAATATTTCTGATTTCTATTCTGGATTGGGTTAAAAAGGTAATAGATATCTAATGCTCAAACATTTTGCATTACCCTTCAAGACTGTCTAGATTTTAATAGGTTGAAGAAATGGCTGATTTTAATTTTTAAACGAAGAATATGTGAGGAGAGATTAGTAGACCATCTCTTACATTATTGTGTAAGCCTATAATGCGAGGTTAGAATGGTTAGAGAAGGTTTTAGGATTTTTATTGATGTTCTTAATGATATAATGGTCTATTCATCAATCAAACATGCAGCTTGAAATCTGATAGGAGACTGGAGAAGTGAGAGTGTCTTATTTTTTGAGCTTTTTTTCTTCTTATTGTTTTCAATATAGGAAATGATGGCCATAAATTGATGCTTTTAATAAAAGGAAAAATTCTAACCTTTTCCTAATTAAACTCTACAGGAAAATGATATTCTCTAGAATTGCAGCCAAGGGAAAGTTTGTACTAAAAAATAATTTTATTGGGAATTATCTTATTCTTGGAGTACTACTTCGAAAAGAAGTTTAAAAAGTCAAACCCTTTCTTCCCTATTGTAATTTGAAATTTGACTTAATAATCCTACTTTTGTTGCTCACTCCTCTCGAATCCTAGGCTGAAGTCGAAGGAAGACCGCAGCTGCTCCCGCTCCTCTCTAACTATAGGCCAAAGTTGAAGATGATATTGGTGTTTGCGCTCGCTTGAGCTCCACTTAAACACCAAATCAAAGAGGCATGTTCCCTTGCGCTCCTCTCGAACAACATATTGAAGAATTTGAATAGGATTTTACCTTTATTTTCTCTCACTAAACTGGTCCAATGAGGTTCACTTCAGCGTGCTGGAACTCTTCTTGTGCGAAATGAGCGCTTCGCTTAAGCGTGCCGGATTGCTGACCTCGGGACAGCAATGTGAAGCAGGATTAAGGCACTTCACGTCGCTTTGCGTTTGGAACACACTTTTAAAATTACCAAGTAACACATACCTATTATGTTTCAATCCTTCAAAAAACAATGAAGCAGATTATCGCTTTATTAGTGATACTATTCTATCAAATAAAATCATCATTTTTTATTACTCCAATGAAGAACAGTTGGCTTACATTTTTTCAAAGTTTTTCCAACAACTCGGCTTATCCAATTTTTGTAGTAAACTGTGTGTATATACACAAACACACACATTTTATTTTGTTTGCAGAGATTTTATCAAATTGAAACTTATTAATTATTCAGCATTCATCCTTTATTATTGAATGAAACCCTTTTTATCTATCCATTATTTTCTTATTATTTCATTTCTTGCATGCTTCCATGCATACAGAAACCCCTATATATTTTACTGAAATGATATAAAAAAATTTCAGTTATCTCACCATATTCACTAACATCCATGTGCATTTTCCGTTTTTCCCAGCTCATATTTAATTTACATTTCTTCGAATTTGATCCAATAAGTCATCCCTCACTCACTTTTCCCTCATGTGACCAAATACCCGTAACTCGTGCAAAGTCACCAAAATTTAGCCGGCGAAGGAGCCGCGGCGAAGCAGACAATCCTTCATTCGCCAACTTCAACAGCAAAAATCCACTCTTCAATGACCCCAAGGACGCAAAAAAATCACGACGAAACATCATGATTGGAACTCCATCATCCAAAGTCAAACAAAAAAATAATCAAAATGCGACCGAGCCGACAACTTTAGAAACCGCCATGCAATCCTAACCTTTTTGATCTCATATTTCATTTGTTTTTGTTCCTCCACCACAATGTTTTTATGCATATTTATTTTAAGATGTTCAATATTATTTAAATTATCATAAATATTAAATGATTTATAAGTATATTGAGTGCAATGCAAATGAGAAATGATATTTTTTATTAGAAAGTAATATTTTTATTGGGTGCTTGTATGTGTACGATTAACTTTGATGAAAGCACTCTTGATGTTACTAATGAGGGAACACTAATGTACCCGTGCATGTAAATGGAAAAGAATATTGATATTGAAGTACTTTAAGCGGTACGATTTTTAGACAGTATTCCTGCAACGGTTGTATAAATATAAAACAATATTGAAATACTATTGATATTGCAAGATTCATTGAATAACATGTAAATGTGTATATCAATATATTAGAAATTGTAACTGACATGCATAATGTTTTGTTTTTTCATTATTATTACTATAGTTTAGGAGTATGAGTATTCACTGACTTATTTAGCTTACTATTATTTTTATACTAATTTTTTCGGTTTGATTTAAGTGATTAAAAGATGAACGATAGAAGAGAAAACATTTATAAATGACGCAGACAATCAGCGCTGGGGTAAATTTAAATATACTATTTTAATTTAATTTAATTAGTGTCTTTTTCATTTGTTAATAGTTTGTTAAATGATAAATTATTATAGAAATTTTTTTTCCTACCGTCTGATTGTCTTCTCTCGCCTTGGTTAATTTCAAGTCCCAAACCAGATCGTGACACACCAACGCTCCCACGACTGCCTCCAACCCCAACCTGCCATTCCTCCATGTTGTCCAACCGGTGTCCGCCACTGTTGACCCTGCCCTAGGATTTGTTTGTGCTGTTTGTCATTTATTTCCTGTGTTGTGTCGTTATTCTGTTGGTCCAAATTTTGTTATTGCAATCCTTTTTGAATGTCTAGGGGCCACAGCCTGGCGCCTAGGCGCCAAAATATATATTTATATTTTTCTAAAGTTATATATATATATATATTTGTAAATTCAATGTATTTGGACAAATTTTGAAGGGGTATCTGAGGTGACTCTTGGGAGATTTCAAAGGTTATATAAAGAAGAGTATGTTGGTGCCTAAGGAGAGAGAGAGAGGAGAAGGAAGAAAGGAGAGAGAGAGAGAGAGAAATGGTAATAGATATCAAATGCTCTCACATTTTGCATTACCCTTCAAGACTGTCTACATATTTTAATAGGTTGAAGAACTGGCTGATTTGAATTTTTAAAACGAAGAATATGTGAGGAGAGATTAGTAGACAACCTATAAACATTATTGTGTAAGCCTATAATGCGAGGCTAGAATGTTTAGAAAAGGTTTTAGGAATTTTTATTGAGGTTCTTAATGATATAATGTTCTATTCATCAATCAAACATTGCAGCTTGAAAACTGATAGGCAGACTGGAGATTTTTTTTTTCTTATTGATTTCAGCATAGGAAATGATGTCTATAAATTGATACTTGTAACAAAGGATAAATTCTAACCTTTTCCTAATTAAACTCTACAGGAAAAGAAAATTCTCTAGAATTGCAACCAAGTTAAGTTTGTACTAAAAGATAATTTTATTGGGAATTATCTTATTCTTGGTGTACAAAGTCGAAAAGAAGATTAAAAATTCAAACCCATTCTTACCTATTGTAATTTGAATTTTGACTTAATAATTCTACTTTTGTTGCTTACTCCTCTCAAATCCTAGGCCAAAGTCAAAGGAATACCGCAGCTGCTCCCGCTCCTCTCGAACTCTAGGCCAAAGTTGAAGATGATATTGCTGTCTCTGCTCGCTTGAGCTGCACTCAAACACCAAATCGAAGAGGCCTGTTCCCTTGCGCTCCTCTCGAACACCATATTGAAAAAGTCCAATAAGATTTTACCTTTATTTTCTCTCACTAAACTGGACCAGTGCGCTTCGCTTCAGCGTGCTGGAGCTCTTCTTGTGAGAAACGAGCGCTTCGCTTAAGCGTGCCGGAGTGCTGACCTTGTGACAGCGATGCGAAGCAGGATTAAGGCGCTTCACATCAATTTGCGTTTGAAACACACTTTTAAAATAACCAAGTAACCCATACCTATTATGTTTCAATCCTTCAAAAAACAATGAAGCAGATTATCGCCTTATTAGTGATACTATTCTATCAAATAAAATCAGCATGTTTTATTACTTCAATGAAGAACAGTTGGCTTACATTTTTTAAAATTCTTTTCAACAACTCTGCTTATCCAATCATTGTTGTAAGCTGTGTGCATATACACAAACACACACAATCTAATTTGTTTGCAGAGATTTTATCAAATTGAAACTTGTTAATTTTTCAGCATTCATTCTTTTTTCTTGAATGAAACCCCTTTTATCTATCCATTATTTTCTTATTATTTCATTTCTTGCATGCTACCATGCATACAGAAACCCCTATATTATACAGAAATGATATCAAATAATTTCAATTCTCTCACCAAATTCACCAACATCCAAGTGCATTTTCCCTTTTTCCCAGTTCATATTTAATTCTCATTTCTTCGAATTTGTTCCAATAACTCGTCCCTTACTCACTTTTCCATGTGACCAGATACCCGTAACTCGTGCGAAGTCGCCAAAGTTTAGCCGACGAAGGAGCCGCGGCGAAGCATGCAATCCTTCATTCGCTAACAGCAAAATCCACGTCTTCGACGGCCCCAAGGACGCAAAAAAATCACGACAAAACATCAAGATTGGAACTCCATCATCCAAATTCGAAGAAAAAAATAATCAAAATGCGACCGAGCAGACAACTCCAGAAACCACCATGCAATCCTAACCTTCGTGATCTCATGTTTCATTTGTTTTTGTTCCTCTACCACAATGTTCTTATGGATATTTGTTTAAGATGTTCTGTATGCTTTGCAAATCTGGAAGAACCACTTTGTTCTTCTCTTTTTGAAAATTGTTTTTAATGCTTTATATTTTATTTATTTTTTGTTAATATCAATCAAGGTGTTTTTCAGTAGAAGATATGGATTCTGGTCTTATGTTAAAGGGATGAAGAGAATGTGAGCAAGTTGAGTGAATGGGGACAGAAAACCAAATAAAGTTGAGATTTTTTGGAATAAAGTTTGCTTTTTTAACTTTTGTTTGATGTCAGATGCCAACATAATCATACTGTTTTTGTTTTCTCCTAATTAAGAAGGTTGAGTACTGTCTATTATAATCTTAGCCTGGCTGTTATATTCTTGGAGATGATACAGCCTATGAATCCAGGTCATGTTGGTGTGATAAATAGGAAATAAAACATAATTTGCATTGTTATTTATAAGGATAATTTTAAGAAAAAATGTGTCATCTGTACTGCAGACGTGCGGGCGACGGTGTGAATTGCATCAAGCCTGCACGCCCACAAATAAGTTCTTATTTATTTTTTATTCTATTTCATAAGCTTTGAGCGAATATAATTAAATAGAGCATTTATGTAAATACCATCTGATGTATTTATATATATATGGCATATAAACTTTGTTTTTGATATTTATACCACCAAAATTTTTCATATCACATTTGAAACATCACTGATATAACTTCTTAAAACAGATTTAACTTTGTAAAAAGTTAAGTACATCTTTTCATTCGTCGGTAAGACGATATGTGTATATATGTATATATATATAAATAGAATTTTGTGTTAGATATGCAAATACATAAGAGTGGAGTGGTATGTATGTAAATCTTCCTAAAATTTAAAGCTTTTGGAATTTATTTTTGTATTAAAATATTGGGAAATTTGAGACCCTTTGCATGAGAACATATTAAGTATTTATACTTATGCTGATCTCGGATTTGAAATTTCGTAAATATTGTGCACAAAATGAGATAAAAACAGAAATATTGTGTGCATTTTCTTCAATATTGAAGAGAAAATTGCCCATCCCTTAGAACAGATGAAGATTATTATCTTTATTTGATCTGGTAAAACAGTAAAGCTCGAGTCATGCCTTACTCGGGCTTGGTTCATCTGTCAAAATACCAACTCTGTGTTCGGTTCAGTACTAACATCAGGCTTGTGACCTCAAATGAAACGTCCATTGGAGCTCACCAGAGAAACCATCTAAGGGATCGATGACGGGAGAGTAGGAGAAGTGCCGTAGCAGCTCACCAGAGAAAGCATCGACATGTATAGGATCACAAGCTGAAGCTCGAGCTCAAGTTCACGGCTCATTTAACCAGTGTCAAGCTCTAGTTGCCTCTGTCTCTGCAACACCTTTGTAAACCTCTATATCTCCTTTTCTTTCGCTGAACAAATTTACTTCAAAAAAAAAAAAAAAAACCCTAATCAGCTTGTAAGATCCTCCACCCTCTGGCAAAATTCGAAGGCCCATAAATCAACTAAAGTATCTCTTCTTTCTTTTCCTCTCCTTTAATCACTCCTCTCTAAAGTTTTCCATTTTTGTGGTATTTGTTGCTTGGCACTTAAGCTTGGAATCACAACTTAGCGTATGGCTTCAATTCCATTTATCAAAGGCTCTCCCTCTCTCCCTCTCCTTTTCCTCAGTGGGAAACAAAAGATAAATCCATTGCTTGGGAATCAAAACCCATTGTCAATGCTCTTCTACTTCTTATATTAGGGTCTTAATCTTATGCAAAATTTTTTTAAAAAAAGTTTGATTAGTATGGTTAATCATAACAATGAATATAATGATTATTATATATTATCTTGGTGCCATTCACATTAAAATAAGTTTTTTTTTTTTTTTTTAATGTCGACGCATATATGGTTTCTTTTTTGTTAAGAGAATACAGTAACAATTATCAATAATTTGCGATTTAAGTTGGAAGGTGATTGAGTCAGGGCATGTAATAGCCTGCAATTGATAATCGAGTCATTGATGTGTAGATTTGTTGTACTATTAATTTTTTGCTTTGAGTATGTAGTCATTGTTGTCTTCTCCATTAATTTTAACTTTTTAATGGTTAGTTCTTCAACCTACCCTACATTAAATATTATTCAAGAAGGTCATAGGTACAAATGCTCATTAACATACCTAGGTGTGTAAGCGGGAGAGAATGATATAGGAATATTGCATTTAAAGGGACGTGAAAATCATTGTCAAGCCTTAATTTTGTAGTTCATGATGGGAAATTAATTCGTAGATTTGTATTCGACCATTAAAAAAGACAATCGTTCTATGATGATATAGTTTATCCTACGAGTTTATATGTGCATTTGTGAGATATGACACACTGATAAGACACATTCACACACTGTATATGGCATCCATTGGATTCTATATTCCATGAAACATGAGATCGGCCTCAAGCATTACTATTCCAAAAAGCTATTCTTTAGTAAAATGGTTATTAAACTACAAATAGTGACATAAAAGTAAATTTTAAGATGCTAAGTGTAGACAAACTAGCTAGTAGTTGACCTTAAGCTATGTGCCATTTCACCTTGCTTTATGATTATGAATTGATTGAATTAGCAATTAAACAAAAGCACCATTTTCTTAATGGCTCCTTTGCATCATTAAACTAATATATAGAGGAGTTATCTTTATAATGTGAAAGGCATTTAAAAGCTTGACTAAAAATCATAACTTTAAAAAAAAAAAACCCCTCTAGATTTTTTATGTATAAAAGCATATATGAAACTATTTTGCATGGCCAAGTTGTGAAGAACTCGACCTCTTGACCCCAATCTCTCCCTCTCTCTCCCTCTCTCTCTTCCATTCTTTATATATTTATTTAAGGATTTAATTTCCATGAAACCTGAGGGGAATGTTGTCTGGCTCGAAGTCTTTCATTTCTAAGAGAGCCCTCAAAAATTTTTTTATTCATATTTTTGGGATCATATTGGTTGTTTTCGGACCAGGCTTCATTCCCCTCAAATCTATGGAATCTATCTCAGAACTCGTCTTCTTCAGCATAGCAGTGAACTAAAGACACAATCTTTCGTAAATTTGTAAGTTTATAATCTTCCTCTCTTCCTCCATGTTATTATTATTTTACAAAATATAACTTTTTTTTTTTCATAATATTGATATTTTCACTTGCAAGTGAAAAAAATTAATAAAATTTTGAGTTTTGTTTTTCTTAGTTGATGATTTAGTGTTTTTTATTTTGAAAATCATAATTTCATGAGTTCTGGCCGAAGAGCTTTACTTTATAAAGAAGCATGCAACGAGAATAGATTCCCTACAGCATCCATGCTTCAAAGCTCCTTTGTTTTCTTCATCATTGCATTGCATAAATTTGATGCTTCTAACAACTTGCTTCCCATTTTGATATGTATATTCATAAGAATTGTGTGGTATGTAAATAAATGTACTTATTTCGATAAATCTTATATCAAGTATAAGATTCATATACTTTTATATCGAAAGTCAAATTATATCGTCACAATTCTTATGAATATATAAATATATATATCTGTGCGTGTGTGTATGTACACGCGCACGCACACAGTATAGGCTAAGATAAGTGTGTACATACTATAAAATTGTTCAAATAATAGAAAACTTGCATCTTTTCAAATTAAGAAATTAATTTAATGCATGTGGAACATTTTTTTCATAGTTTTACTTCATAGAAATTGATGATGCCACACTTATATTTGGTTATAATTTTCTTGCTATTTCAATACATCATGAGATTTTTTTCATAATTGGATGTGCTAGAGATTTGAAGTAGTAAGAAAAAATATTTTTATACTTCCTTATTATAAATAGAAAATGTTTATAATACTCACAAGAGTTTCCTTAACATCTCATTTTTTTATTGTAATTTTATAGCTAATTTTATAGTTAGACACATCCATCCCTTTTATACCTCAAATCAATCCATTTATTTCATTGAATTTTAAAGAATGGCATCCCAAAATATATATATATATATATATATAGCTTGGAAAGGAGGAAATGGTGTGCTAGCTAGAGAGAAGAGAGTATTGAGAGACATCGTCGTCAATCAATTGTGCCAACATATGCACGGACCGACAAACCAACACTCCCAAAGGTTGACTCGTCTTCTCAAATAACTCAAAGGTACGCAACACTTTGGTTTACACTTGTCCCTTGGAGTTCTTCATCATCATACCTACGTTGATGCGGATTGGGAAGCGACACAATAACTAGAAAATCCACAACAGGCTCCTGCACATATTTGGGCAGTGCACCAATTTCCTGTATGAGTAAAGAAACAAAACACCGTAGACTGTTCTTCAACAAAAGCGGAATGTGCTCTTGCTTCCGCTACCATGGATGGCATATGGTTGAGACGCTTATCAGGTGAACTTGGAGTAAATCTCCCCACACCTACCCAAATACAATGTGATAACATTTCTGTCATGTCCATCCCCACTAATCTAGTATTTCACGTAAGAATCAAACACATTGAGATTGACTACCAATTTATCCGACAGCATATAGAAAATGGACAAATTCAGCTCAAATACATTCACTCTTTGCATCAACCTGCTGATATCCTCACCAAAGCTATCCCAAAGAACAGATTTCTCTCTTCAGATCCAAGCTAATGGTTCGGCTACCCGAACATCAGCTTGCAGGGGAGTAATAACCGTTTCCTACATGGCTCAACAGTCTGTTCATGCCGATTGCGGCCATGCAGGTTTCGTTCAGTGCTACTCATTCCTTTGTCATGGAAGATAAGCTAAAGTATGGAGCTTTTTCCATATATAGAGCTGCATACTTGCCTGTGAACTTCTTCGTTGTTTCGCAGTTCCCGCTTTATGTTTGATTTGGTGAGGGCGATTATTGCATATCAACCAATTCCTATGTATTTACATATCTAATAGAAAGAAGAGTAATAGTTATCTCATGGAGGAAAATGCTTACAGTTTTTCCATGGAGCCCTTGCCTGAATTACATCCTCTATATATAACCTATAGCAGAGTATTCTAGAATATATGAAATCAGAAATTAGTTAGGATTCTGAAATTAAAATCTGCATGAAAGAGAGTGGAGGCGAAGCTGCCGCAGGTACTGCAACTGTCTCCACGTGCATAACCCAAAGTAGTTATGGATCCTCTACAAGCTGATGGGTCTTGTCAAGAACTTGAAGCTTGGACTTGAGAAAATTAAAACGTTGCTTTACCAAGGGCTTAGTTAAAATGTCCGCTAGCTGATCCTGAGTATGAGTGTAGCCCAGTTGAAGGTGTCCGACTTGTATGTTTTCACGGATAAAATGATAATTGATTTCGATATGCTTCGTGCGTGCATGGTAGACTAGATGGTTTGAAATAGCTATTGCTGAAACGTTGTCACAGAATAGATTGGTAGGGGATTCTTAGGCAACTCCGAATTCAGCTAGTAGTCAGCGAAGCCAAAGCAGGTCGGTTGTTGTTGTTGCCAAGGCACGGTATTCAGCTTTTTTCGATGATCGTGCCACGATGATTTGTTTCTTGATTGTCCACGAGATTAGATTTGTACTTAAGAAGTGAAGAAGCCTGTAATTGACTTTCGATCAGTGGAGTCCCCAGCCCAGTCGACATCTGAGCAGATTTGAAGGATGAGAGGAGCATGAGTAATAGTAAGGCCGGAATCCCATGTACCCTTGAGGTAATGTAGTAAGCGTTTGAGCATTTTGTTGTGGTAGATGGAGGGTTGACGCATATGTTAGCATAGAAGGTTCACGGTGAATGCAATGTCCGGTCTCGTGATTGACAGATATTGGAATGCACCCTATAATTTGGCGATACTCTGTAGGATTAGCAAAAGGTTCATTTGACATAGTAGCATTATATATCTTGATTGGGAGTGGAGTGGCACATGGTTTGAAGTCTAGATAGCTGTTTCCTGAAGAATGTGCTGGAGTTATTGAGTTGATGGAGGAATAAATGGGTACTGGTGTGGTCCGCCTGAATGCCG